TGTGTGTCTGTCTCTGTGTGTGTGTGTCTGTCTCTGTGTGTGTGTGTGTGTGGTTTGACTTGGCTGGAACCACAGCGAATTTCAGTGAAGACTTGTGTGTTCCTAAACTTTTTCATCCAGTGTTTCTCGAGCATTTGGCTGAAGGAGAGTGAAGTCAGACAGTTTCCTGCAGGAAGAGAGATCCCTGAGGACTTGCTGCCTCAAAGTAGCTGGTCGCTGAACCAGACTGTGTTCTGTATTTATAAAGTGCATCCAGAAAGTGCTGGGCATACTCTTGACCGTATCTGTGTGGTGGGAAATGCTTCGGGTCAATTGTCAGACCTCAAAGATGTTGGAGATTCAGGGTGAGCAGATCGTCTCCCGTGATGCCTTGCCGCGTTCTGCCCACAGCCCCCTTGCAGCACCATCACCAGTGGACTGTGCGCCTACTTGAGAAAGGTGCCCACCCCCACGCACCCTGGGGGTGCCCAGGAAAGCTGCAAGTCAACACAACCCTGCAGCTCCCAGCTGACGCGGCACTGCTGTGCCAGACCTCGGCCACACAGTTCAGGCGAACGGTTTGCCAATCTCGTGGTGGGCAACAAGTGCCAGGCTGCAGGTTCTGCCTGTGAGTGGTGTTCCTTCAAAAAGCCTAGTGCCTGAAATTACAGCTAAAAGTTCTCTCTTTCAGAGCTTCCTCTGTTGCAATGTGTGTGCGAGTCTACTGTGGAGTGTTTGTGCAAGTGTTGTAGCAAATTGGTGGTTTTTTAGGGGCTGGGTGGGGGCAGATTGGTGGGTGACAGAGGTGACTAGACCTCCCCCCACCCCGCCCTTTAGAAGCACCATGGTTCAGATAAGGCATTAACAGTGTAACATTCCAAGTATTCCAGTGACACTTGTATAACTGGAGTGTTAGCTTGGGTTATGTTCTCAAGCCTTTGGAGCAGGACTTGCTGTTTAAAGTTTGCAGGTGTTATATTTTTAAAAAAAAAGTCAGAAACCTTTTAAAAGACCCTGGCATAAGGAAGTAGTGGTGCCCCAGTCTTTCACAATGAGCAACAGAGCCAAGGTGAGTGACTGCAGTTTTGAAATCGACTTAACTGCAAGAAAAGTGCAAGGTTTTTACGAGGAAATCTATTCTATTAAAGAGGACATCTGATGAAATTCTACCGTGAGTTCCAGTGAAAGTAGTCCCTAGGATGAGACAGTACATAGTCTGGGAATGTTACCATCTGGGGTGTTGTGTGTTTTGAAGGCACAGTGGCTCAGTGGTTGGCGCTGTGAGGCAGCAGTGCTAGGGACTCGGGTTCGATTCCACCCTCTGGCAACTGCCTGAGGTGGAGTTTGCACATTCTCCCCGTGTCTGCGTGGGTTTCCTCCCACAGTCCAAAGATGTGCAGGTTGGGTGGATTGACCATGGGAATTGCACAGTTACAAGGATAGGGTCGGCGTGGGTCTGAATGATAAGCTCTTTGGAGGGTCAACATAGAATCAATGGGCAGAATGGCCTGCTTTCGCACTTTAGGGATTCTGTGATTCAAATGGACCCTCTTCAGAAGGGGAGTGATGGTGCAAAAACGGAGAAAGTGTGTCCTACACTGGACCTGATGGATTTGACCTAATTTCTGCCTGTGCCTTGGTTCCTCCCTCAGACACGGCAAATTCTGGAGGAGCTGACAGAGTTGCCAGTCACAGTGGAACTTTCCAGCGATTTCCTGGATCGTAGTACACCTGTTTTCCGGGACGACGTGTGCTTTTTCCTCAGCCAATCAGGTACCAAGCAACATTTGTAACACAGATTTTTAGAGGCAGGTTCTTGTTTCCAACTCAGATGATCCACCTTTTGTGAAGGTTATCCGGCACTAAACCACTCCTGAACTTTGTTCTGTGTATAAATTTTCTGGGGTTTGCTCACAACTGGCAAAGGCAGAATTTATTGTCTGTCCTTAGTTCCCTGAGAAGTTGACAGTGGGCCTACTCAAATTTCTGCGGTCCATTTGTTTTCTGTGCATGCACAAACCATGAATAGATTATTCAGCCCCTCATTTTGAGTTTTTGGTTCTGATTTTATTGTCACAGGTATTTTACAGTAAAAATACAACAAAATGTAGTGAAAAGCTTTCATTTGGCGTAACGAAACGGCTCCATTTTGAATAATTTAAGCGTAAGGGGCAAAAAAAAAGGTACAGCTGACTTGATTGTAACCTCAAATCTCTGAAATATTTCATTCCAAAATCCTAGTGCGTCTTGCGTTCTACAAGTATGGTATGCACTTAATTAAATGTGTTTTCTCTGCATGGGATTCCTCTGGGAGCTCCAGTTTCCACAGTCCAACAATGTGCAGGTTAGGTGGGTGGCCATGCTAAATTGCCCATAGTGTCCAGGGATGGACAGGCTGTAGATAAGCCGTGGGAAATGTGGGGTTAGAGGGTTAGGGTAGGGGCGTTTGGGTCTGGTGGGGTACTGTTCGGAGGGTTGCTATGGACTCGATGGGCCAAATGGCCTGCTTCCACACTGTGTAGGGATTCTGCGATTCAACTCACTTCATAACTTCCATTGCATCACTTCCTTCCTTAATCACGTTCTAGTCTCTCCTCTCAATTGCTGTTCTTTATCCTATCATGGGAGGTGGGCATTGCTGGCAAGGCTGGCATATATTGCCAATCCCTTATTGCTGTTGAACTGAGGGTCTTGCTAGACCATTTTCAGAGGGCAGTTAAGAGTCAACCATATTGCTATTCGTTTGAAGTCACATGTAGGCCAGACCAAGTAAAGATGGCAAGTTTCTTTCCCTGAAGTACATTCTTTCTTCATTGATGGGATGAAGGCATCGCTGGCCAGGGCAGCGTTTATTGTCATCCCTAATTGCCCAGGGGCAATTATGAGTCAGCCACATAGCTGGTGGGTCTGGAATCACATGTAGGCCAGACCAGGTAAGGATGGCAGTTTCTTTCCCTAAAGGGACATTAGCGAACCAGATGGGTTTTTCTGACAATCGGCAATGGATTCATGGCCATCATCCAGGTGTTTATTGAATTCAAATTCCACCTTCTGCCATGGCAGGATTCGAACCCAGAATGTTACCCAGGTTTCTAGATTAACAGTCCAACGATAATACCACTAAGCCATTGCCTCCCCAGTATTGGTGGCCTGGACATTTACAACAATTGATAGTTTTGTGGTCAGCAGTGCTGATGATCAGCTTCAATTTTAGAGTTTGTTAATCGAATTTACATTTTATTGCTGCTGTATTGGGTCTTGAGGATTAGCCTGGATATTTCTAATCCACTGATATTACATCACTATGTCTCCTCGTTTTGCTCC